AAAACAGTTTGTCTTTTACTTAAAATAAGCAAGATTGTATTTTCCATTCAACATGACATCCACCTTAAATATTATAAGACTGTTACTGTTTTGTCAATAATGCAACTTAAAAAATGAGATTGTCTTGTCCATACAACATAAACAAAAACCTTAAATTAAAAAGATTGTCTTGTCCATACAACATAAACAAACACCTTAAATAAACAAGATTGTATTGTCCATACAACATAAACAAACACCTTAAATAAACAAGATTGTATTGTCCATACAACATTAGCAAACACCTTAAATAAACAAGATTGTATTGTCCATACAACATAAACAAACACCTTAAATAAACAAGATTGTATTGTCCATACAACATAAACAAACACCTTAAATAAACAAGATTGTCTTGTCCATACAACATAAACAAACACCTTAAATAAACAAGATTGTATTGTCCATACAACATAAACAAACACCTTAAATAAACAAGATTGTATTGTCCATACAACATAAACAAACACCTTAAATAAACAAGATTGTATTGTCCATACAACATAAACAAACACCTTAAATAAACAAGATTGTATTGTCCATACAACATAAACAAACACCTTAAATAAACAAGATTGTATTGTCCATACAACATAAACAAACACCTTAAATAAACATGATTGTATTGTCCATACAACATTAGCAAACACCTTAAATAAACAAGATTGTATTGTCCAGAAAAGATGACACGCACAATCTTTTAATTTAATTATTAAGAATAAGTTGGGCTATTATTTTTTCTTTTAATTTTACAACAGCTTTATAGCAACATTAATAAAAGAGTGTTCATGTCTGTAGTAAATGGAAACAGATATCACATAATGGAATCGTCTTTTCACAGATTAAATAATATTTATAAAATAGTTAAGAGCAAATAAAAAATAAAGATAATAAATAAATCTGGCACTGGTACCTAAGCCAATGGGAAACTTGACCACTCGTACGCCAATGTTTTAAGTTTAGGAATCATAAATATAATATGTTTTAGTAGTTTTTTTTTTCTTTAATTATGAGACAAAGAAGTATAGCTTCTGGAAATCATGTTCTACAATTAATTTTATTTTCAGATAATTGATGGTTCTAACACAACACGCCTGTGTGGCCCAGATGTTCAACCATTTAGCTCATCCACAAATAAACTTTATATCAGTTTTAAAACAGATGGATCTGACGCATTTAACGGATTTAGATTGGAATGGATCAAAGATGGTAACTATTAAGAATTTACATTTTTTATTTACAAAATGAATGTGTATGTATCTGATTCAAAATATTGTACTTTTCATAGTGTGTGCACTGTCTGTCATGAACACAACAGAAGATGAGAAATATAGTCCATATATGTTTTAGTGATAAATGCTAGAAGTTGAGTTTAAATTATAAAGGCCTCAATTCATTATTTTTTCATTTAGGAAAAAAAGTAAATAATGTAATGTTTTTTTTAAAAAAATGAAAATTATAGTTAAGCAACAAAAAAACAAAAAAAGTAGATTCCTATTTTCAACCACTCACTCTATATAATCCTTAAATAATGTTTTCTTTTTTTGCTTTCAGCTTCATGTAGTTTCCTCCATTTATTTATTTCTCAAGGGAAACAAGTTAACTTCATTAATACTTTACACACATACAATTCAATTTTTCAGGTTTTTCTTTATACCGCATAATATAACATATGGTGAACACTGTTTTCAGATATAGAAGAAGAAAAATTGAATGTTAAATTCTTGTGAACAGGTTGTGGTGGTAGACTGACTGGGAACAGTGGAGGCTTTACCAGTCCAGGTTACCCCAATCCTTACCCTGCTAATGTAATCTGCACCTGGGAAATAATTGTTGAGTTAGGCATGTCTGTGGAGTTCACACTGCACACCTTTGATGTGGAATCTTCTACTGGCTGCCGCTTTGATGCTCTTGAAGTAAGCTTTGATGCTATACTGCAACATTTTTAACTCATTCCCCTGAAGCATTTTTATTGAAAATTTAAATCTGATTTATTAAATAAAACAAACAAACCTTAAAATATTTACTTGTAATGTCTTGCTTTGATTAAACATTGTTTTTATTTTTTTAGTGTGTTAGACTAAATGTTGCAAGAACCATAATTTATTTTAAAAATAAAAAAATGAAATTGTTAAAAAAAATTTGAACAATTATATAGGGTGAAAAAAAATTGTTTTAAAATTTAATTTTCAATAGAAATTATATTGCTTATAGTTATTACGATGTAGTTAAAAGACATTTCTATTTATTTTTAGATTAATAAAGAATCTTATCGTGTCATAAATGTCTAAATTTTCTTATAAAGGTCCATTCTGGTAGTGACAGGCAAGGCTTTCAATTAATCCAAGCTTGTCACAGACAAAGTGGTCCTCAAACAGTGACTTCATCAGGCAATACCATGTTTGTTTATTTTGAAAGCGATTATTCAATTCATGGGACTGGCTTTAATGCCACATACAAGGCAGTGCCTAATGGTGAGTTTATATTATGATTCCCAGATATTCTTGCATCATCTTAAAGGAATTTTTTATTTAAAATCATATTAGTATCAAGATAATACTTAGGGAATATAAAAATAATTGAATGTACAGTTAATGATATGCATAGTTATCCCCCTTCTTCCCTTTCTCCAGGGTGTGGTGGTAAATTCTCAGCAAGAAATGGCAGAATTTCCTCCAAGAACTTCCCAGAAACCTATGACCACAACTCTGTATGTGAGTGGCTCATCACTGTGGAACAATATCATGCTGTGGCTCTGACATTCCTAAATTTTCACCTTGAAGGAGACAATTGTACATATGACTATGTAGATGTAAGTACACTTTTAGATGTTCCTTACAATGTCTTCATGAGTGCAGGTAAATGTTTATTTTACATTTGTTTGATAAAATCAAAATATTAAAGAATAATTTGATCATTTTTATTACTATTAGTTATATAAAAATCAGTTGAAATGTCTTAAAATGAACTTTAAAAAAAATTAAACAGATTCTTCGATGTTAAAATAAAAGTTAAACTCAAACCAAAATTCAAGGATGCATTTTTTCATCATCTCTTCTGAAATTAAGCTTCTTTAAATTTTTCTGTACCTATGTTAGATAACATAATTACTAATAAGTTAAAGTGACAAAATTATTATGAATAAACAAGGGGTGATGAAGATTTAGATGATTGCTGCCAAAGAAACAAATTGTTTTAAATTGATGCTAGTATAACAATAAGTATATGCATGTCTTTAAATTTGAGTATGGAGTATTTTTTAAAAATCCAAATTAATGAACCACCAGAAAACTGCTTACACTATATCAAACCATTCTCATTTTTCTGTTAGCATTAACCATGCCATTTAACCACAAAGTTTTACATCCTATCCCTATTCTCCCATATGGTGCACATTAGCCTAGCCATGCTACATGCTACGAGTTAACCACAAAGCTATACATCCTATCCCTATTCTCCCATATGGTGCACATTAGCCTAGCCATGCTACATGCTACGAGTTAACCACAAAGCTATACATCCTATCCCTATTCTCCCATATGGTGCACATTAGCCTAGCCATGCTACATGCTATGAGTTAACCACAAAGCTATACATCCTATCCCTATTCTCCCATATGGTGCATATTATCTGGTACCAACAAAATTCCAATTTGAAGTCATTTGTATTCCTTCTGAAAAGGTGTATGATGGGAACAGCACAGAGTCTACCCAACTGGGTCACTTCTGTGACATTCATACTCCACCTGCTCTCAGATCAAGTGGAAATCAAATGTTTATTAAAATGGTCGCTGATTCTTCACGAAGTCACCAAGGTTTCCTGGCAGAATACAAAACAGGTTGAGTTGATATCAATGAGTCGCATAATTAGTATAGGGATTTTCTAGTTTGATCTTGTTAAACAAAGTTCTGCCATTGAGTGTAATTAATCTAAAGGTCAAACATATTTCGCATTGAAATTGCTTATTTAATATTTTCGTATACTATCTCAACCTTCTTTCTCTCTCTTTTTTATTTTGAAATAATCATTGTGCTTTATTTGGTTTGCAGCTATTTTTAAAATATTTTTTAAATATTTGATTTAGCTTGTGGAGGTAATTTGAATGCTGATGTGGATGGTGAAATAACGTCTCCACTTTACCCTCATCAAATTGCTCCTCATTCTGAATGTATTTGGATAATTTCTTCTGCTAGCAACAGTAAGTACCTTCTTGGTGTCTACACAAGGAAATAATTACTTGTTATTGTTGCTCTGCTTGTACTGGAAGGGTGGATTTCAGATACACTCTTACTTTTTAAAGGATTTCAGATACACCCACATTTCTTAAGTAGCTAAGTACACTCTTAACTTTTTAAGGAGTTGAGATACACTCTTAACTTATTTAGGAGCTCAAATACTTTTGTTATCTATTTGGCACAAATATGAGGAAACACATATGTTTGGAAGGAAGGGCTGTATGGGCTGGTCTATCTAAATGTGTCACTTTGCAGTTCCATCCACCACACTGCAAAGCAGGTTTATTTAAATCATTTCGGCAGCTCCTAATGTGGTCTACAGCTATAGCGCCATTTTTTTGGTCTACAGCAATAGTGTCATTTTCTTTGGTCTTTAGGTATAGTTTCATTTTATTTGGTCTGTAGCTATAGTTTCATTTTATTTCATCTACAGTTACAGTTTCATTTTCTTTGGTTCGCAGCTACAAATTTATAATCATTGGTCTACGACTATAGTGTCATTTTCTTTTGAGTATCCTGTCTGAATACATGGTTAAGCAAAATGTTGTTTTTTTCCCTTCTTTCCAGCTCAGCGAGTGACCTTACATTTCACAGCTATGGATATTTATGAAACTTTAAATTGTAGTCTGGCCTGGGTAGCTGTTAATGATGGCAGAGATGCTTTTGTGGCAGCCGATGATGAACTTCAAAACAGATACTGTGGCTCCTCATTACCAGCTTCTATAACATCACATGGTTCATCCCTGCGAGTGCAATTTAAATCAGGCGGCTATGCAAGGGGCAAGGGGTTCAGAGCGGTGTATTCATCATCTCATAGTTGTAAGTTAACACATTATGTTGTTTTACTGCTTGCCATGTAGAATAGTCGTGGGTTGAAATGGGTTCAGAGTGGTGAATTCATCATCTCATAGTTGTAAGTAAACAAGTTATGTTGTCTTACTGCTTGCCATGTAGAATAGTCATGGGTTGTTATTAGTGTTTGGAGTAGTGGATATGAGGAGCGTTGGCAATGTGAAGTAGAGATAATTGGTTAATGTGGCTGTTCAAAACAGTTGCTGGTTATATAAATTTCAAGGGAAAAATCTATGCTCAACAATGTTGAAACTCCTGTAATTAGGTCTTGAAATCTGATTTCAAAAGATTTTTTTGTGTGGTTATTTGTTTAAAATATATTTACAATGTCTACTAGTTTTACATTTGGCAAGATAATCCTCTTCTAAAGATATGTATAGCCCTTTAGTTCAATTTGCTTGAAATATGCAGTAGACTTAATTATAGTTTTATAATGTACATGTCTATTTAAATTGATAAATTACAAGGATATTGATATTTTACACAAATAAATGTTTATATTTATAGAAGCAAATACACACATGTTCTTGTACTTATCTCTTAGCTTGTGGTGGTGAAATCAAAGTCTCATCTGGGCGCTTTACCAGTCCATTGTATCCTGATAACTATCCTGATGATATAGAATGTATTTGGCAATTGACAACTCCTCCAGGAAATGCATTACAGTTATCTTTCCCGTAAGTGAACTTTTAAAATAACTAACTTTGTAACATTTTATATATGTCTTATATATATGTATTTCTTAATATTCCGCTGTCTGAAGATTCATCTTTCAATTTCTTTTTAGGATACTCTTTCTTTATATATTCTAATAATTAAATTTAACTGTATAAGAAAACACAGACATATAGACATTAAAAAGTTATTTTTGCATTGAAGAGCACTGACTTTGCATTACACTTTAATTAATTGAAGAAACTCTGATGGAGACGTACATTTTTCACCTTGTCACTTTAAACACATTTAAGTGCAGTATTTAGAATAATACTTTTGTTTAATTAAAGGAAAAAAAATGGAACATGCGTATAAATTTAGTATGATACTCGAAATAGATTTTATGCAGTTGAATATTTTCACTACCATATATCCTTGTTCATAAGTGGCTTTCTTTTTTAATACTTCATGGGGATAAGTAGGTGGTTGCTTATTAGTGGTTCATATATAAGTTTGATTCTATAATATAAAACAGTGAAAAAAAATTAATTAATGATAAAAAAAATAAAGGCTGTGTGCAAAATTGTCCGCATTTGAAATATGGTTACATATTTTGTCTTCATTTTGGAATTGGTGTGCTTAGAGAGTATCACAGTATCTACATTTAATGAAATTATTATTGGAGATGAAGGAGATTCTATTTTTATACATTTTCAGTACAGTTGTTGAAAGTGTTATACATAATGCTATTATAAATTTTCATTATTTTTTAAAATCTTCTTACTTGCAATATAATTATAATCAAAAGTTTGGATTAAAAAGAAAAATGTTTTTCTTTAGTATTGCTTCTACAGTACATTTTTTTATAGGGTACACATAAGGATGGGTTAGACACTTTTAAGGTGTTTTCTTGACAAAACTAAGTGGGTAGTCTTATGAATAAACCTGAGGTCTGGCATAAAAGGTGTACCTTTCTTCTCTCCTTCAACTTTTAAATATTCAAAATCACATATCTGTTAATGCAAATTGATTGAAAGATGCATCTGAAAATAAAGGTCTTTAAATGATAATTGTTTATATCTATCTGTCTGACAACCATTTATCATACCATAAACAGGACATTTGAGCTGACTGAAGGCCTGAATGATGACTATGTAGAAATACGAACACCAGACGTTAATGGAGAACTGGCAGGCAGGTGGGCGGGAAACACTCCACCTTCAAACTTAACCAACTTTTTTGGAGCTTGGATCAAGTTTAGATCAAATGAAATGGACACGGCCAGAGGATTTACAGCTGAGTGGAGTGCCTGTAAGTGTCATCATTTGGTTGGACTTGCTGCAGCATGCTCAGCTACAGATCATACAAATAACATCTCTGTTATGTTTTCATTGTTTTTATTTCAAACAAGTAACATAAATATATATATACATAAATACAAGTTCTCAATCAGGTGTTGACTTTCTGCTTGCGTCCGGAACACGGTTCATAAACACACCCTCTGTCCAGTCTCTTTGCGCATGCGCGCTGTTTCCTTGGCTGGCTATCGGTACGGGCCAGTCCGCTAGTCCACCATAACACCTCCCCGAACAATTACAAGTCCAGTAACAATGGTGCTCGACGTTGTCTTTGAGATCTTCTGGGAATGACATAGTCTGAAGGTCTTGGATGTCGAGGGTTAATCTTCTTCTTATGTGGACTTGGAGTTCCTGGATTTGTAGACGTTTGATGACTCAGGGCTGCCTGAGCTGTTGGATAAAGACTTCCTGTCATTATATCCAAACTTGGTTCTGAATCTTCTTCTGCTCCATACCTGGGGCGAAGTTGGTCTAAATGTCTCTTCCAAATGGGACCATTTGGATAAATCTTTACCTTGAAGAGACGTGGACCCGTAACTTGTATGATTGTACCGGGAGCCCATCGTGGTTTAGAGTCTGTTGCTGTTCCATATACTCTGACGTAACATGGATCTCCCCGGTTAAATGATCGACTAGGACTTCTGTTTGTCCCATTGCGTACGGCTATTTCTTTAAGATGTTGTCCCTGTGCTCGATGAGCAGGAGAGGGAACTAGAGTATCAATAAGTGTTCTTATTTGTCGATTGTTCAGCAGTTGGCTCGGTGATAATCCACTTGCCAATGGCGTCCTACGATACTGACGCAGAAAGTCTTGTAGAGATTCCTTTAAAGGTAATGAAGATTTCTTTAGTGAACTCTTGAAACTTTGAATCAGTCGTTCGGCCGCTCCATTCGTAGCAGGATGATAGGGAGCGCCTGCAAGATGTACAATACCCCTCTCCTTACACCACTGCTGAAATTCTTCTGAGATGAAGCACGTTGCATTGTCACTGACTATGGTGTGTGGATAGCCGAAATGAGTAAAATCTTCCTCCAGAAGATCAATGGTAGCTTTGGTCGATGTAGGTGTTGTCCTGTGGATACACGGGTACTTTGAATAAGCATCTATCACCGCCAGCCAATGTGATCCCTTAAAGTTAATGGCATGGTCGATATGTACTCGACTCCATGGTTTTTCTGGCAACATCCATGGGTGGATACTTGCTTTGTTTGGGTGTCTGGCGTGTTCTGCACATGCCTGGCATGTTCGACCAATCTCCATGATTTGAGTGTCAAGTCCGGGCCAATATACAGATGATCTTGCTAACTGTTTCATCCTCTCGATTCCAAAATGTCCTGTATGCAGGATTTGGAGAACTTGAGCTTGTAGTATTTTTGGTACCACAATTCTTGAACCATAAAATAGACAATTGGACTCCACGGAGAGTGAGTCTTGAATATTTTTAAAAGCTGCTAAATTAGCTGCCTCCTTGTTCAAGTGTTCAATGTTTGTTGAGGGAGGGCGCCCTCTTGACAATATCTCATTACAGTAGACACAGTAGAATCTTTAAGGGACTCTTTAGCAAGGAGTCCTGGGTCTGTTGGTCTGATCTGTAAACTGATTTGTTTGATCAAACATACAGCATCCATGTCTGCTTCACTTTTTTCAACATCAAAAATGTCATCAGGCCCTAAGGGTAGACGACTAAGAGTATCCGCATTGCAATGTTCAGTTGATTTACGGATTTGTTCACGAGCTTTAATCAATGAGCTTTGATTGGCAAAGTGATTTGTCCTTGTTTGAAACATTGTGTCTATCGAAATCTTGAGGTTCTTTATTGCAGTTCTGCCCAACAAGTTTAAGCTGTGGTTTTTCACTACAACAAATGACAAATTTGTAGTTATTTCCCCTGCTTCAGCCTTTATCTGCACACTTCCCAAAACATTAAGTAGGTCACCAGACGCTGACTCGTACTTGACCGCTACTGGGCTCAATTTGGGTTGTCCCAGCTTTCGCCAAACAGATTCAGACATAAAATTTTCTCCGGCTCCAGTGTCAATTTCAAATGCAAACCGCTTTCCTTCTAAAATGAGTTCTTGAATAATGGGCGGGATAGTTTTTATTTGGTTTTGCCTTCCTATTCTTTTGAGATGAATTCGTTTCTGTTTTGGAGCATTCTCTTTCTTATTTAGACAAACTCTTTTGAGATGTCCTCTCTTGTGGCAAAAGCGGCAGATCATGTCTTTGTATCTGCAGACATTTCCTTTATGGCCTCTTACTCCACACCTGACACAAGTTCCACATGGAAAATCCTGTCTTTGAGATGGAGAAAATTTCTCTGCTGTCTGATGTTGCTTCTTTCTTTGTGTCTGAATTTTATTGATAGGAGTTTCATCATGGACTGTTTCTTTGGTACATTTCGCTGCCTCCTCTGTTTCAACAGCTACTTCTACTGCCTTGTTGAATGACAGTTCAGTGTCCTTCATCCGAAAATTTTTTTTTTAATACAGCCTCATTCTTTACAGAGCACATGAATCTTGTTCGTAAAGCTTCATCTAGAGGATTTTTGATATTACTAAACTCACAAGTCGCTGCATCCTGTCTGAATCTAGCTGCCAATTCTTGATTCTTTCCCCCGGTTTTCTACTAGAATCGGACCAAAATTTAAACCTTTCCCTGATTATAAATTTGGTGGGATCAAATTGATCCATCATTATTCTATATATTTCTTCTATGTTCAAGTCATTTAAATTTTGTGGTGGTTCTTTTTGTTGTACGAGGGTTGACAACATTTTATGCAGCTCTGGCGTCTGGCTTGTTAAAAAAATTTGTACCTGCCTTTCCTTTGGCACATTATTTGCCAACACAAAGGTCACAAATCTAGCGTAGTAGTCTGTGAACGTTTCCTCGTTACTATTGAAATGTGAAAACATCTACACAGCAGAAAAGGAATGGCATCCAATGGACCTTGTGGGATCAACTGGATGATCTTGACTTTGCTGATGATCTTGCACTTCTTTCACATACCCAACAACAGATGCAGGAGAAAACAAACATTGTCGCAGCCACTTCTGCTAGCATGGGTCTCAACATTCACAAAGGGAAGAGTAAAATCCTCAAGGTTAATGCCACCAGTACATCACCCATTATGCTTGAAGGAGAAGCCCTTGAGGAGGTGGACAGTTTTGTTTACCTTGGCAGCATGGTAGATAAACAAGGTGGTACAGATGCAGACGTCAAAATAAGGATAGGAAAAGCAAGAGCAACCTTCCAACAACTCAAGAATGTTTGGGTCTCTAACAACTTAGGCAGCAAGTTAAAAGTAAGGATTTTTAACGCTATGGTAAAACCTGTGCTGCTATATGGAGCCGAGACATGGAGAACAACGGCCGTAAACCTGACTAGAATCCAGTCCTTCATCAACAACTGTCTAAGAAGGATTCTCAGAATTCACTGGCCAGACAAAATCAGCAACCAGGAACTGTGGCAGCGGACAAAACAGAAACCCATTGAGGAAGAGATTCTCCAGAAGCGGTGGAGGTGGATTGGTCATACATTAAGAAAACCTGCTTCTAACACAACAAAGCAAGCCCTGAAATGGAACCCACAGGGTAAGCGGAAAAGAGGCCGTCCAAGAAACACTTGGCGCCGAGAATCGGAGACAGACATCAAGAAAATTGGCCATGAAT